GTGCATGGAACCTTCCATTTCCTGTTTTTACTCTCACCTTCTGTATAGAAAATGTGTTAAAATCTTTGATCATGAATTGGTATATTTCAAAGAACTACACAATGACCAAGAATACTATTGACCGACAATATACAGAGGGGGTGGAGATGTACTGTCAACTATTACTAGAAAAGATTTCTTATTTGAGGGAGGTGGTTAGTAGAGGGATGGCTTTTATTTGAGGAAATAAAATATTTTGTATCATCTTACAATAGAACTTTGATTTCCACTTTAAGGTCAAATCCACAGAGCTAAACTTCCAAGGTTTCCATATTTGTTATAAATGTATGGTTCAGCTACATGTAACAAAGACTTGCCAAAAAACTTATGAATTACTCAACTTGTTCAGATCTTAAGTGACATTTATATAACCAGAAGTATTTGTTATTTTTGCATTCCTTAATACACCTTTTCTGTCTGCCCCCTCCCAATATTGTTGCATAAACTTTGCTTTCAGTATCTCTTGCAGAATCCAAAATGGTGAATACTGCTCTTCAACAGATATCTTTCCATCATAATGAAACAATTCTCTTCATCGAATTCTCATTAATGTATTGTCTTAAAAGTTAAATGACTAGAACGCCCAAGAGCAATGTGATCAAACATTTTAAATTAAAAGTAAAAGAGAAATAGTGAAGAATTACAACTTCTAATCAAATCTTTGCTTATATTTTAGAATAAAATATTCTCGAAACTGAGAATGGTTTGATCTGAGCTGCTTTAAAATCGAACTGAATCACTGCATGAAACTTTTTGTTTTGTGTTCTTATCTATGCATGCAATATGCGTGAAAATATCCATTATGAATCTGTTTTTTAAAGAGCTACACAAACAAGAAGACTATTGACCGACCACAATACATACAGAGGGGGGGCAGCTGTAGTGCCAACTATTGATAGATAAAGTATGAAGGAGTGTTGCCATATATTTATTTGTTATGGTCTACAGTTCAAGGTTGCTTTTTGATTTCCATGAATGGAAATCAGCTCATCCTCGGTGTAAGAACCTGTTAAACTCACAAGTGACGTAAAACGGAGGAAACAAAGAAGTTAATGCAATAGAACGTAGAAACACAAAAGGTGCAAAACAAAGAAAAAGTTCACAGGTTCTTACACCGAGGTAAACCCCGGAAATCAACAGGTTAGACGCCTTACACCACTACATGAAAAATTACTGCAATTTGATTGGCTTAGAGCAGTGGTATTTCAGCTTTTTTTTATTTGAAATACCTACATGTGAAAATTACAAACCTTTTGCAGGTAGTAGTATAAACAAATAATAGCATGATTTGTGCGTGATGTTTGGCATAAATACCACTCGTGATATTTCAAAATTGTCTCAAATTTGAAATTACGTATAACAATTTCGAAATATCACTCGTGGTATTTATGCCAAATATCACTACAAATCATGCTAGTACAAAAACAAAGCTCTTCATGTCATATGTCGTGGTAGCTTGCCCTCGATCATGGAAAAAAGAACATGTTCCCTTTTTAACGATGATCAACTCAGTAGTATAATAAATATGTTAGCTCCCTCGTGAATTAAACGCTTTTTTCATTCCAAAAAAGTTGAACTAGAAGTCATATGAGCTTACCCCTAATACGTGAAAAGGTGAAAAGGGGTGCCATAACAGAAAACAAACAGAAATATCTTACCAAATCTTCATCCACTTTGCTGGTTGATGAAGAAGCACTTTCTTTGCTCTGTTTTATTTTTCTCTCCCCGTTATCTCTAAAATCTCTCTTTGCGGGAGAACGTTTTGGCATGGTACAACAGCACCTACAACGCGACGGTTGACAACTCACAAGCGATCGAGCGAGCGGCAAACAACCCAGCAAGTACGTCATGTAAGGTCACCTATTGACCAATAAAAACGCGGGCTCGAGTATTGGAGGGTCATTTTCTGGCCCTCTATTACAATCTTCCCCATGGTAAAGTACCCCCTTTTTGAACGCTTTTATAGCTCCCTGCCCTGGCTGAGCCAGCGTTTCTTTAGGTCAATTCACTTGCGCAGTCGCTTCTCAGTCCACTTTTTGCTGGCTGTTGGTTCATGTAGTTTAGGGTGATTTTAAGGCGCTAAAAGACATTTGAGGTATGTATTAAGCTAAGAAAAAGGTGTATTTGGCTACCTACAGTATCAATTCCATTTATTAACTCTACTAACTAAAGGGCGGTGAACAATTTTATGTAGACCGGCTCACGAAAAGATTGCCCAAGACCAGACCGCACTATTTACAGTTGTGTTTTGTATGAATATGAAGAACATAGAACCAATCACATATTAATACTGAACATGATCAGAACGACGCTCTATCTTATATTCCCGACTATTTTGTGGTACTTATCAAGGCAGGGTCAAAATATGCCACTTAAGAGCAGTTTATACAGGGAGCTGACATTTCACCATCACATACGATTTTCATTAAGCTTATATCTCGAATAAATTGCTAAATCTTGAGGGCCAACCATTATAATTGATAATAATACCTGAATTCCCTACGAAAGTGGGTATTGAAAACCAATAAAACCGCAGCTAAACTCCTTGCGCCGATTAGCTTGCTGGTTATGCAGAAATTAGTGTAGTTGCGTATGATATTTAATATGAAACTGGATAGGGAATTCACTTTGCTTCCACTTCAATCAGTCATCCGCTAGTAATATCGTGATTGTGTATTTTCTTTTAATATCATGATAACCTTGGCGGAAACGATCAGTAAGCAAAGAAGTGAACGAGGAAAGTTTCTGGTCAAATTTTTTGAAATTTTCTCTGCTTTAAAGAAATTTCGATTTAAGCTTGACCTCAGTTTTGACCGCTCTAAAACGCCCCATTGTCCTCTAAAATGCTAAGATGCATGTTTTATCTTCACTTGATATCTATGTTTGAATCAGCCCAACCAAGCGTAAAGTTCATAAGTATTGGCGATCCTTTCTCTCATTTGACGATTATTAAATGAGATTGCGTTTAATATGAACTGAATAAGACGTCGATCGAGGAGGATGTTAGTCTCAAAGTCAATAAGAAATAGTCTAAGGATGACTGTGATGGATGACTGAACAGAAAACATTCGAATATTTATTCCTTTGTGAAGGGCTAGGTGCAAAGGATGTAAGTTACGATTTTGCTGAAAACAAGTACAAACTTATTAAAAGGATATCTCCGAATTTTTGACAATAATATTCGTATTTTGAGCAAAACTGAGGCTCGCAATTTCTCAAAATGCTAACTTTGTTTGGAGCTAGGATATCACGTCTTTGTTTTAAAAATAAAACCGACCACACAGTCCTTCAGGGAAAGTGCATTCAGGTGGTTCAACTCTAAGAGTAACTTCAACTTACTTCATTGAAAGAATCTTTATTTGGGTTTTCTGAAAATTCACCCAGCAAGAGCCGCCTTACATCAAAATTAAACCACTCTCTGTTATTTATAAGATTTTACATTTTTTTTGTAAACTTCATAACAAAGCACTAACCGTCTCAGACTTTACCCACCAAATAGAATTAAATACCAGCTAGAAAAATTCCGCAGTTTATCATACAACCAGGCCATTGTGAAAAGTGTTGTGTTGTTGTTGTGTTGTAAGATCCACTTTTATCGTCTGTAACTTTTATAAGGGTGATAAAATAAATTTAGGAAAAAAAATCGATTCGAAAAACGGAAGGCAAACTGGTCACTTTTATCTGCTCCAGATGCCGCCAATTGCAAGGAATATCAGACCGGGCATGAAACAGCAAATTGACCTCAAATAAGCAGGCAATTAAAACTCTCATATGTACGATTCAGACAGGCAAGTTAGGCTATAAAACCGGCATTCATACCATTTTTATTCCTTGCCTTTTTGTTCACCCCGAAAGTTAAAAGAAATCCAGTGCATCTGGGTGAAAAGTTTCACGCGAGTAGCGTCTATTTCGTGCTTCTTTTACGCCAGCCTCCTTGACCGTAAATTGTAACTTCCTTGACCGTTTCTTCGCTATTGCATGCATGCATCTATATCAACTTACATGTTCGTTAATATTTCATTCGACTAAGGCCCCGTTTAATGAAGAAAAGTTGTCCCGGATAGAAGGCTTACCTGCCTACCTGAGCTACCCTGGGCGAGCCAACTTCTCATGCATTTCCGTAAAAAAATTGGCGAACGGCGTTTATATGAAAAACAAAACGTTGGCTCCCACCAAGCCGGGTCACCCTTTTGTGATGGAAGGCTGGTCACCCTCCTAGCCGACAGTTTGTTTTTGTTTTCTGTTTTTTTAATTAACAATCACATGCGAAAACTTCGGCGATTTTGGAGCACCTTCTTGTTTTCAGCAAAATCGTAACTTTTACTCCCTTTTTGTAACCTAGCTACACAATTCTTTTATCATTCATTTAAAATTCTCTAAGCTCGTAGGCGAGTTCTGACGTGACATGCTGATGTGACATCTCTGCATTTTTTTTGCTATCTTTTCTAGCCATTAATTCGGCTATTTTATCTCTGCACAGCTGTGAAATCTTCAGCAATTTTCTTAAGTTTTGCGCGGCCAAAACAGTTGATATACTGCGCCACCACTATCTTGCTTAATGTCTATCGTGGAAAATTTACATTGTATTCCATCAATGACGTTGGTCACTGACGTCAGGAACAGAATAAATCTCCTCCAAATTTGATAAGCTGAAGAAATATTTCAAATGAATGATAACTTTTTTAAAATTCATATCGTATCTGCAATTTTGTTGATCAGTTCAGTTAGCTAAACATTTCATTAACTATTTAACAACAAACATTACCATTTTAAAATCAAAGCATAGCTAAGCACAAGCGAGAATGAGCTAGATCATTCTCTCTTGCTAAGCATGCATTTGCTTCACTGGACTGCGAATTTCAGTCGTCTTCTCTCTCGCCATCTGTCGGGAGTGCGCGCTTGTCATACTCAACCTCACACCGTGTGCAGTAGATTTAGACTGAGCTAATTTTATTTCAGCGATGGACCTGAGAAAGCACCTGAAATACAGCTTCAGTTACAAGAAACTCGGATTTGAACCTGTTGAGTTCAAGATATGCCTTTCGTCAAAAGTTGACAAACTGTTGGAATCCTTTGACCTACGAGGAGTCGAAACAGTCAAAACGAAAGCAATAAATGATGTCAGGGATCAAGTTTGTATTCAGGGATCAAATCAATACCTAGCTGGTCGCCAACGGGAAGGAGGACTTTTCCCCCATTCAACGCGATACGAAGACGATATTCCAGACCCAAACCCGGTCCAGCGGAGACAGACCCGTACAAAGAACAAAATAAGGAACAAGAACTATCACGAGGAGCAGCGTAGGCTGTTTAAAGATATATTACGGCAAGAGTTTCAAGAACTTTTTCCTTTTATAGTAATTGACGAAAAGGGCTTCCTTTCTAGTTCTGTCAGTGGAAGAGAGATCAAAGCTACAGAGTTCTGCAATGTCATTGATGAAATTTCAGCTAACTTTCTTAATAAAAATTTGAAGACACATGGTGCACAGGGCCACGACGGGTTAAGCACCTATTGGCGGACGAAGTTAGAATCAGTGTCTGAAAGTTGCCAGCGGATATTACAGAACAGAATGGCAGTAGTCGGCTCCATTGACAATGATCTAATGGATCAGGGAGGCTATAGAATATGGATTGACCACGTGAAAGTAATAGTTTCATTTGCAGCCTTAATGGTTGTTGCTAAAATGATCATTGCTGTTGATGATCGCGGCAGATTTATTAACCCGAGGTTATTCCTTATTGTGATGATTGTATTCTTTGTACTATTGTGTTTACCACAACAGTCCCAACGTAAATAACTGAAAGTAATACAGATTTCAAAGTATCATTGAACGTGGGAAATGACTGAGTTCTCAAAACTGGCATGGTCCAGTTAAGTTCCGAGGAACCTTATCTAGGATAGCCACCACGTTGCCATTATTGACATTATACTATAGCCTTTCCCTCAAAAATCACATGAATGTGCTATAACGTTAACTGATTTGTGGAATACCAGTTTATTGTTTAAATTATAAATTCGAGTTAATAGGAGCTTCGCTTTTCAGGGGCACCCAACGAGAATATAGTTCAAAACCACATAAACATAGCATTGTTGAACGTACTTTAGTATTTAAACGGTATATAAAGGCTTATTTTTATCCCCTAAAGATTTTTCATCTGTTCGGATTTCCTAGCTGAAAGTATAGTGATCCGAAAATTATAGGGATCAAAATTTACCTTTTCGAAAATTTCAGCCAGAAAAAAGGCTCCCGAAAATTCTAGGTGACCTTTTTAGGGTAAAAATCCGTTAAAAATGGGCAATTATACCACTTTTTGGATGTTCGAAAATTCTAGGAGAGGCAGGCAAGCAAGAAATTTTACAGAAAATGATCCGAAAATTCTAGATCTCAAATCGTCTTCCGAACAGATAATTTTCCGAAAATTGTCGTTGGGTGCCCCTGGCTTTTAGCCCTGGCTAAATCTATACATTGTGTAAGGTAACCTCAGGGGCACCCAACGACAATTTTCGGAAAATACCTGTTCGGAAGACGATTTCTTGCTGGGAGTAAGGAACGGATGAATTTTCCCAGCAATCTCCCAAAATGTTTAAAATAGCTTCAGACATCTTTATTCATGCGTTTTTGTTGTTTTTAGGTCTTTTTTTCAAAATTTTCCGTTGGGTGCCCCTGAAAAAATGGCATAATTGCCCATTTTTAACGGATTTTTACCCGTTAAAAGGTCACCTAGAATTTTTTCGGGAGCCTTTTTTCTGGCTGAAATTTTCGAAAAGGTAAGTATTGATCCCTATAATTTTCGGATCACTAGACTTTCAGCTAGGAAATCCGAACAGATGAAAAATTTTCAGGCGATAAAAATATGCCTATATCTAGCGTTTAAATACTAAAATACGTTTAATAATGCTTTGTTTAAGTGGTTTTGAACTATATTCTCGTTGGGTACCCCTGGTAACCTGTTTCTTATTGAAATCCTTTCATTTTCGTAGGTTACAGAAACAATAGGGTTTTTCCCCAAACAAATCCCTACACTTCGAAAGTTAAACAACAAATGCCGATTAGTCGCCGATGCTCATATTTCGAGCTTGGCCTACTGTGGTTACAGGAACAGCTTTCAACAAGGGATCAAAACAATTTACAAAAAACAATTGAGAGATAAATAAGGATCAGTTAAGGTTTCTGAGAAACTGCCCACCTACCCCTCCGCTAACCCAACATTTTGCAAAAAGTGAGAAGTTATTGTTAACGTTGGGTTTGGGGAGGAGTAGGTTGGCAGCTTTCCTTAACTGATCCGATTAGGGGCTGATAACTGATCCAAAGATAATTTATCAAACCGCGTCTTCAATGACAAAGTGACGGTAAATTCCCCTTTTAACATTACTTAAACACTAATGCAGTCCTCCAGATTCAGTCGCCGAGTCGTCGTACATAAAGAGGACTTAAGGTATGATTAGATGGCTTACCAATCTTTTTTTCCATTTGTTGGATTGTCTTTGTCTTAAGTACTCCATAAAACGAGGGCAACGCATTTTTTTATCCTGTTTCTTTTGTTCGCAGTTCATATCATTAATTTTCTAGATTTATCTTCTTTTCGGATTCTACTAAGAGGGAAGTGCCCCGGGGATACTCCGCTATAAAAATGACAGGGGTGCTCGTCGTGCTTTTAGGGGTTTAAATTTGGGGATTGGTACCGCTTAGGGGGATAAAACCTAAAATGACTGCTACCAGAGTTGTCTCGATACCTTTTAGGGGCTTACTTTAAGGTTATCGCCTATGAGGATAAAGATTTATGACAAAATTTTCAAAAAGTCCTCGAGAAGAAAGTTTTCGAAAGTTATCTTTATGACTATTAAAATTTGCAGTGCCAGTTATATAATTTGTTGTTATTGAATTGTTACCTCTTAGGGGTGGTGGGACACGCGTATAAAACAAGACTCTAGCACCTTTTAGGGTGGTTTCGAAATTTTCTAAGTAGCACCCCCGTCACTTTTACAGGGGATTACCCCCCGGGGTAAGTGCCTTTTCTTTGTTGCATTTTTCGATAAGTATCGGTAACTGGTTAAATTACCCATTTGAATCGACTTGTAGCATATTTAAATTACTTTTAATTTTTGCCTGAACTTCACGCGCGATGGCCAAGCTCTTTCAATGCAAACAACACACTAGTGTCATGATAAATTCCTTTCCTGTGATGTGAAAGCGAAAGGCCACTGTCTCTTCCGGTTTCTCTTTACAAAGTAAAGTATTGAACAGTGTAATAGGGGTGTTACTAAACAGAGTAACGCAGTAACGAGTAACGGTATAACGAGAAAACAAGTAACGGGATAAAAATTCAAGAGGATAAAAAATATATTAAAAAATAGAAATTATAAAACAAAAATCACAAAAATGATTATTATTTCTAAATAGCGTCCTTTTCAATCGTAAAAATATGTGTACAACGCAAGTTCAAATGAGAACTCAAGAAAAAGAAAGGACTGAACGCTACTTCCGCTGCTCAATTTGCCGTCGTGTAGTAGTCAATACGTGTTAGAGTTTTTAATACAATGAAATTCAATTATTCCACGAGCGCGCGTTGGATATGAGATGATAAATAGCCGACGAGGCGCGTTTCATTTCATATCCAACGTAGTTCCAGGTAGAATTATGTACATATATAAATATGAAAGTATAGATAAAATATCTAAATAACAAATAAAAAATGGGGGGTCACCATGCTCGTTTATTTGCAATAAGACGATAAAGGAACAATTTCAACCTCAAAGGATCAGTTTTCGCGAAAAGACTGGGGCGAGTTTAAATTTTTCGCCCATTTTTGCAGTTAAAAGTTGTCTTTGCAGGGCTTAAATTCTTATTTACTACAAAGGCGGTTTTCCTGAGTCTGTTTAGACGACCAGCGAGAATTTTCACCGTATTTGATGTCGCAAAGTTATGCGCAGTAGGATATGCGCAGTGCAAAACAGGGGAATAACCTTAAGAGCGTCTGCCTGTAAACCACGGATAGGCGTGCAAGATGGAAAAATCGAAATCTCCCAAACTTTGTCACAACAGAGACCCTTGGAAACTATTTTAGAAAATACAAGAATCAGTTCATTTTGATTTACATTTTCCGAATTAATAATTTTTTTAATGTTTTGACAGGCCTCAAAGCCGCCGAAAAATGTCCTTCCTCTCCTCCCTTGGTAATTTGGAAGGGAACCAAATACCATGACTATTTCGATCATACATAATTGAATGACCCTTTCTTGGTATCCTAACGTTATTAGAATTTCAAAAGATTCCAATTTGAATTTTTTTTTCTTTTACCCTCTAAATCAGTTTATCGCAACTCTCAGTTTTGCCTGTTTTAAACGGCGAAAATCCCTTCCTGGTACATGGCTTTCGATATAAAAATGGTATTCTTGAGAAAGAGGAAAGCTTCTTCTGTCAATCTGCGAAATAAAATTTTGGGGCAATGGAAACTGCGAGTTTTGACAACTCAAAAACATTGAAGGTACTTGCTTGAAATTTACAACCTTTGAACTTGCATTTGCTTGGGAATGCAGAAAAATAGGAATATTCAGCCCAGGCCGGAAAAGCAATATTCTTATAAGAAAGAAAGAGTGTAGAGTACGGAATTTGGGTAGCAGTTACTAAAAAAAGAGTAAAATTTGGCCGTAAATGTCACTCTTTTCCATCAGTCGAAAAACTAAAAGCGATTTCCGATTTTATGGTGGCAATTTTTCAAAGGAATAGTACTTTTATTCCGCGAACTGGAGCCAAGGTCTCGACAACAACACTTTCGCTACGTGCGTTTACTTTTACAATGTCTACTGGTAAAAAAATCACTTACGTTGCAATCAGCTTGAGTGTCATTTAGTGTTCTTCAAAATGCTCACATTTCTTGTGAAACAAATCGGAATTACATTAAGACAAACTTTAACCTATCCTACGGCCTTATCTTTGAAAACAGACCAAAACAGTACCTGAGTATCATGAGTACGTCAGCAAAACGAGATTGCGTGACATTTAATACCAGACCCGAGGTTGTAAGCGACATAGATACCTGCACCAGATAAGTTTCCATGAAAAGAAAAAAAAGTCAGTCGTCTAAATACATAGTGTCACTCTGAAGTGTTGGCTAGAACAACCCAAATACTTAACAACACCAATCTCTGATATACGTTCCAACAATACACGCAGAAAAAGACTATTTTACAACAGTTTCAAAATTAGGAATAATTTGTCACTCTTGGAAAAATATAACATAGAATATGCAAAAATAGTATACATTTCGGAAGTATGTTTGGAACCACGGGGCTACTTATCGACGACTGCCACGGGAACTGCATGTCTCGACAAGTTCTCCGAGTAAGGACAAGTAAGGTGCTTTCCATCGCCCTTTGATTTTCCCCACCTCAACATCACAAATGGAACGCAACATGGAAACACTATGTTATCTGCCCTGTCGTGACATGTCACATAAGTTAAAAGTGTCAAAACTGTCGGGTGCCTTATAAGGCCCCATCCACACTAATCCATTTTCGTTTGAAAACGCATACATTTTGATGCGTTTTCGCCTTTCATCCACACTAAAACGCCCGAAAACGCTGATGAAAACGAAGACTTTCGAAAACGCAAGCCAGTTTACGCTCACGGAGCGTCTACTTTATTTAACAACCAATAACTGATTGTAATGCAATACTCATTGCTTCTTTCATATAAACAAACATGTTCCTAATTAGTGTAATTAAGTTATTATCTCGTCTTATCTCTTTGATCAGAAACTGAAAGCAACAATTCGGGGAATACCCCGTGGAATAAACACAAACAGATCGTGCTGCATAAGAACCCCCTATAATGTTGTGTTCCACGCAGTTGACATAAGCCAGTCATCGAAATTCCCTTTGCAACTCGTTAAAGACCCCCTCATGCCGTATTCAAAGCAACAGCTGAACTATTTTCGGATGATACACATTGTTATGGACATTTTCGCGACCGCTTTGAGAGAACTGTTCAAGGAAGTTCAAAGTGTCATGCAAACTTTCACCAACGCCATTTACAAGCTAGACTGGGAAGAGTTTAAACGACAGTCGGCAATTTTCCTCCGCAACGTTCAAGACTGGGCGACTAAGCTTTTTGTACAGATCGAACTCGCCTATGGCTACAACATTCAAGGAGAGAGTAAAGAAGCCATGCTTTTGTTAAATGATACTATTGCGAATTCTTGGAAAGCTGGAGAAAATTCTCCGCGAATTCTATCAAGGGTACTCGCAAGAAAATCTTTGAAAATGGTGTACGAACAAAAACATTCCGAGTCAAGGGCCTTGGCTGAGGAAGCAAGTGGCGCTGTGTCGACCATTGAGAGCCCTGAAGAAGAGATTGTTTGGCAGATACGGATTGTTGAGTGTTTACTGAACGAAGACGGCTCACTGGAAAGCAAGAAAGAGAGATTTACGCCTATTTGGAACTCGGTTATTGAACTGTGTCAGGGAAACATGGATAGCGTTCCTAGAAGTCCTTTTATCTTAAATTTGTTTTTGCCTACAAAGCACTTTTTTATCTTGGGTTTTCAAAGAACGGTTTCGATCCCTATCCCAGCAGTGTTTCAGATCTTGACGAAGCAGAACGCTGTGTTCAAAGGTTAGAGGAACCAGACTTAAAAACAGACCTTGAGGACAACTACGCAGACGCCTTCCGCTTGATTTGCAAAAGCAAAATTGCATTTGACAAAAGCAAAGTGGCTGACGTTGCAGGAGAGGTGGAAACAAGGGAAAAGGAAGCGTTATCACTGTATGAGAAAGCCGCTGCAGCTTGTAAAAGTGCCAAAAACAACGGAATCTTGTTCAAGTTATCTTCCCTGAAAGAATACTTAGAAAATGACAAAGAAAGTGGAAACTAGATTCCATTTCTTATGTCTTTCAGTTTTCCCATTGAAAGCTCGTAAGCTCGTTACCAAAGAAAAGTTCAGTTTTATTCATTTCGTTGTCTTTAGTTTTCTCGGAAAAATAAGGTGAAGGACGTAGTGCGTGTGCCTCAATTTTAAGAGGACAAACATTGTTTTTATGATAATATGTGGCGTTATCAAAACATGTGGCAAAAATAGGCCTGCACTTGTCAACCCCAAGTTGATACATCAAGTCAACTATCAGGTAATTGCTGTTTACAATTTACAAGGACGGCGACTTTGTTGATACGTGTTTGGGGCTGTCACGGTTTAGTTATGCGATGAGATAAAAAAAACTGAGAATTCGGGGAATACCCCTTGGAATACAATAAAAACAAAGGAAAATGCAAATTATTCCCCTGAACCTCGACTCTGTTCTTTTGTTCTTCACAATTCGAAACTAGCCTATTGATTTCTGTTTGATAAGTAGTATACAAAGCCCAGCCTGAAATGTTGTGTAATTAGTTTGTGCAGTTGTCATAAGGCAGTCCTCGAAACACCGTTTGCAACTCGCCAAAGACTTTGTCATGCCGTATTCAAAG